GCCCTCGGCACTGGGAGGGTGCTTTTCAAGGGTCGCCCGTGCAAAAGCATCTTGTCCCCGTGCCGATGGGTACAGGGGCCTCTTCCCCACAAGCACTGTGGCGTTGGTTGTGGGGGTGCGGGCAGGTGCGGGCACCCAGATGCCGCCCCCCCCATTGTGAATGAGTAAGGGTACCCATTCACTAAAGGGTTAAAAAAATTGTAAATAAAAAGTCCAGACTTTTGACAAATCTTTTATTTGAAAAAAAAAACAAAAAAAAAAGTTTTTGACAAGTCTTTTATTTAAATTTAAAAAAATCAATCACGACGTCCAGCGTTGTCCACGACGATTAGACGAAATAAAGTATAAAACAAGAAAAAAGAAATAGAAATTAAAAACAAAAAAAACGACGACCGCCATCCCGTCCGCACACCACGGACTCCCTTCGCATTATGTCATTTTGACAGATGCCGGCAACATATAAACAATTGGGCGGAGCTAGCAGTTGATTTGGAGTATTTCATTTAGGGGCTGATATATAAAAGGTTTGCACAGCGGATAGCTGGGCGATCGCCAGTCACACAGCATTGCTTCTGCTAGATGGAGCCATGGAGCGTAGGAAATGTTTCCCGGCAATGATGCTGCGTGAATGGCTGTGTGAGTGGAATTGGCCCGGCTACAGTATTTGGAAATCTGCCCCTTAGTGTTAAAGGAGAACTATGAGGGGAGTGCTTTTCACTCACCTCATAGTTCTAGACGACCTGTGACAATGAGACTGTCACAGGTCGGCTCAGTAGATTGGGAGGTGAGCGAACACATACCGGCGTTCGCTCACCTCTCGATCCTGTCACAGTTCTCTGCCGTGACAGGGGAGGGGCTGGATTCCCCCCTCCCCGCTCCGATCCTCCAGCGCTGACTGGCGGAATGGACGGGGAAGGGGGCGGGTACAGCTGGCTCTGCCTCTAGATAGGCAGAGCCAGCTGTCAGTCACGCAGCTGGGCGGATCCAGACATAATTGTCGGGATCCGCTTCAGCTGCGTCGTCTTAGTATACCGCGAGCAGCAGCTCGCGGTATACTGAGCCTAGGGTGACGGGAGGACGCTAGTTTGTGTCCTCCCGTTACCCTAAGGAGAACTATGGGGAAAAGCCTTAACCCCATAGTTCTCCTTTAATTGTATTTGCCTTTTGTTTTGTATTTGTATATTTTTTTTATATTTGATTGTCATGTGTTTCAATTAATTTTTTTGTTGTTGCTGTGTTTTCATTATAAAAGTTCTCTATTTTTGGAGGGCGTATTTTTTTTCGGAGGGTGTTTTTTGTTTGATTTAGCGTATTTCATTTAGGGGCTGACTTATAAAGGCATTATTGCCACTAGATCAGGGGTGGGCAACTCCAGCCCTCCAGCTGTGCTTTAACTACAATTCCAATCATGGCTCTGGGAGTCATACCTGTGGTTGTCAGAGTCTTGCATTGCCTAATGGGACTTGTAGTTCCACAACAGCTGAGTTGCCCACTCCTGTGCTAGATGGAGCCAAGGAGCATAGGAAATAGACATGTGAGATTCGTTTTGTACCGAATCACAATATGTACGTATTTTCCGAAATTCGGACATTTGGACACATCCAGAATTTCTGAATCCCAATGCATCCGAATGTGTCTGAATCCGAATTTCCTTTTTCGAATTTCCGATCCCGTCCGAATTTCATTCAAAAACTAAATTGAATCGGACATGTGACTTTTCTGGCCAATCAGATGTGTTTTTTGGTATAATGCATCCGAATGGGTCTGAACAAGAATTTTGGTTACGGCAACATGGGAGCCATATACAGTATATACATATAATACTAAAGCTGAGGCTTCTAGACCCGAATAGCATTCATGATCCGAATTTCCGGATTGCATTCGGGAGCTCCAGAGTGCCATTCAGGTCTGGGAGCATTATCTTTAGTAATATATGTATATACTGTATATGGCTCCCAGACCCGAATGGCATTTGGAAGCTCGCAAATGCATTTGGAAATTCAGATACCGAATGCCATTCGGGTCTGGCAGCCTCAGCTTTAGTATTAATATCTCTATCTGGTTTTCTGTGATATTCGCAACGAATAATCGTAAACTCATCTGAAACTAACGAAAATTCAGATTTCCGGAAAACCCGAACCGAATTGAATTTCAGATCCGAATCCCAAAATAACGAAATATCCTAACCTAATTTTTCCGCAGCTTACATGTCTAATAAGAAAAGCTCCATCTAACTGCAATAATGCCGCATGAATAGCATTGGCCCAGCTACCTGTTGGATGAACCCTTTAGATCAGGGGTGCCCATTTGGTAGATCGCAAAGCAAACACTGGTAGATCGCGATCAGCTCACTGACCTGAGCTCCCTCCCACGGTGCTAGTGCGGCTGAATATGTCAGACGCCGCAGACAGGAAGGAGAGAGAGAAGGAGCGAGGAGAGAGAGAAGAGACCGCCAAGAGAGAGGGCCAGTTCGCACCACAAAGTCTGCGTTCCAGAGTGTTCGGCCTCTAGAACGCACAGAAACGCAAGCCGGCTTGCAGCATTTTTGTAGATCGCACTAGACCTGAATGCTGTGTTCTGGGTGCGTGCGATCACTCTGCGGGCGGGGTGTGTGGCTGCCGTGCCATTGACTTCAATGCACCGCCATGCCCCTGAACGCAGGTGTTTTTTCATTGGTAGATCTCATTGAGCTCGTCAATTGAAAAGTAGATCTCCAGACGAAAAATTGTGGGCACCCCTGCTTTAGATTCTGCCGCTCAGGGTTCCTTATATTTGCATTTGTTCACGTTTTTGGGTATTTGTGTCACTTTAAGTTTCGTATTCTTTTTTGCTGTCTGTGATTTTCTTCTGGGAAAAGTAATTGCGGGTATTGAGGGTCCGTTTTATGGCGCAAGAAAAGGTCCGGGTAAAAAAAATGAATTTTTGTAACCCTCAGAGGCCGTATAGCCCTTTCGCTGCCAAAGACATTGTTAATTTTCTCCTACAATGCACATTTTGGGCCCCTGCATGATTTGGCTTGGCCTCCCTGATACATCATGGACTGCTTTGATCTCATATTGTAGTTCATTATGCTGGCTCCTCACTACCAGCGGGTTCCCCGGAGATGAGGAATTTTGAGGGCCGGCCAGGGTAACGCGGCACCAGTACTCCGCGGTTTGGAATGTACATGTACGATAACATAACATGCTGGCCCGTATCTGCAGAATCAGCAACTCAACTCTGTGACATTTCACACAAAGCATTTGAATGTGACCTGGAACTGTGAGGAACACAGCGATCCCGCCGCCTCCATCGAATATGATTACTGCGGGAGAGCCTGTTAGACAAGATCTAGAAGAGTCAGTGCTGTACTTTTCCACTGTGCAGGATCTTTATTGGGTCATTTATGAACTGTGGCTCCTCCACCCCCCCGGGTAAAAAATACCTTTTGGTCCCATGCACTTCTTGGTGGTGCATTGATGTCAATTAAGGCAGCCAATACAAAATTAATGGGCTGCCAATGCACCCTAAAATGCTTGAAGACCCAAATGACCCTGGCAACCAGAGAGGGACGCCGGCCAGAGCCAAAGGCAGAGCTGGGCGGTGAGATGATCCACTGCACCCTTTTAGCATGCACCACACGCACCATCCCGCCCTCCGAACGTGCACCACCAGCACCTTGCCCCCACCCACAAAAAGGCTAGGGACACCCCTGATAGTAACACTCACAGGCCCATTTAATTATTTGTGTTGCATGAACACGCATTATGTAATGCATTAACGCGCCTTGCAATTATAATTAATGGGCAGCCAATGCAACTTAATGTGCTTAAAAGAGCACATGATCCTTTGAAATTAAATAAATTGTGCTTCTCTGGGAAATGCAAGCAGATCGTGGGTGGTGGGAGGGGCCGGCATGGTAGCGTACATACAAAAGCTTGCAAATGCATAAAAATATTTTTTTTGTTTTCTATTTTTTTACTAATGTAATTATGCCAATTGCAGTATTGAACAGAGGCACACCAGCATCTTCAGGCTGAAGAGGTTTATTTTCTGAATGAACCCCCAGCCTGCATGTGATTACCATGATTGGCTGTAATGGGGATGAGCTGGTCAGGAACCCCACTGATTGGTTCTTGAACACTATGGAAGCCTAGTACTGATAGCAAAGTCTAAGTACTCACCTGGAACATTAGTTGACGTTCTCACAGCATAGGGTACCGTGCCAAAGAATATTAATAGCAGGCACCATAAAATAAAGGTTATCTATATCCAAGGCCTAAATGCAACATGGTGTAGCTTACCAGTCTTTAGATGAGGTTTTTTCAGGCTAAGAACATTTTCAGCAAGTACAGAAAATACCTTTTGGTTTTGCCAGAAATACAGCATCCTCCATGATGGAAAGAGAGGCCGGTGACATAACTTTGATAGGTCACGTGACCCGACTCTCCTCTCTGCTTTATGTTTTTCATTCATTTAGTTATGCTTCTCTTGCTTCGGAGTCCCGAAATACTTTTTTCAAAGCTGTGGTATGGCCACTGTGAATATGGTATGGCCACTGTGAAAGCCATACTGCTGCTTTATGAATGAACTTATTGGCCTTATTAAGTTTGCACTCGAGTAGCCCCTGTGTTAATCTGGCCCTGCCCATTGCGGTAACCTGAACCATCCCAATAATCTGCCGCAGGCAGCATCTCTTTGGGTTACATTGGGTGAAGGCAGGCAGAGAGGCAAGGCCGCCCTGCTGCACAATGTTTGCAGTATGCCTGCTACCCCCTTTCCGGCCCGAGCTTCCCAGGTTGCTAAGAGCCGGGCGGGGAGATGTGTAAGGGCCATACCCATCTCTCCGCTCAGCAACAATAAAATACCACTTCAACATCTACCTGTTGGCATGGTATAACACAATGCTACCTAGAAATTTGGGACAGACAGTTACTGTGGTTTAATATTTCCTATAGAGCTTGGTGCTGCCTTCAAAATTCAGAAAAAAATCTATTCAAATTTTGTTTTTCTGTCTCCAGGATGGCTGAGGAAGAGAAGACCGGGAAGGAAGGTCTCATTGAGTTCTATTCGTCTTACCGGGAACTCTTTGAGTTCTTTTGCAATAACACGACCATTCATGGAGCCATCCGGCTGGTATGTTCACGTAACAACCGCATGAAAACCGCCTTTTGGCTCGTCTTGTTCCTAGTCACCTTTGGCCTGATGTACTGGCAGTTCGGACTCCTCTTTGGACAATACTTTAGTTATCCGGTGAGCATTAATCTCAACGTCAACTCAGACAGACTGCTGTTCCCAGCTGTGACCGTGTGCACCCTAAACCCATACAGGTGAGGCTGGAGGTCAAGTTGACTATTTTATTTGTTGGTCTATGAATGAGCCAATTGCACCATTGAGATCTCCTTTAGAATTATAAGGTATTTTTAAGGCCGAATCATCTTTTTTTGTGTTTAGGGCATTAGATACCAGAAATGAATGCTGTCTGTGCTCTTTGAAGGAAATTACCTTCACTTCCTGTCTAGGAGACACCATAACTGAAAAGAAATCTCACCTAGTAAGGAAAAATCCCTTCATAGGCAGTTGTCACCAGGACTAGTGACCCTTTTGTAACATTTTGGATTTCCCACCACTTTTTGCCCCATTGGCAATCCAAAACTAAAAGAAAATGTTACCCTTAAAGGAGAACTATGAGGTGAGTGCTTTTCACTCATCCTCATAGTTCTAGCCGACCTGTGACAATGAAACGGTCACAGGTCGGCTCAGTAGATCGGGAAGTGAGCGAACACATACTGGTGTTCGCTCACTTCTTGATCCTGTCCCTGCAGAGAGCCGTGACAGGGGAGGGACTGGATTCCCCCCTCCCCGCTCCGATCCTCCAGCGCTGACTGGCGGAATGGACGGGGGAGGGGCGGGTACAGCTGGCTCTGCCTCTAGATAGGCAGAGCCAGCAGTCACTGAGGCAGCTGGGCGGATCCAGACATAATTGTCGGGATCCGTTTCAGCTGCGGCGTCTCAGTATACCGCGAGCTGTAGCTCGCGGTATACTGAGTTTAGGGTGACGGGAGGACGCTAGTTTGTGTCCTCCCGTTACCTGTAGGAGAACTATGGGGAAAAGCTCTAACCCCATAGTTCTCCTTTAAACTATTCCCAGACAAAAGGCAGGAGGCATACATATACCTAAAAAGGAACCAAGAGGCCAACTGAAGGAGCATGCACCACAGACTGATAGCGCTGCTACTATGTGCAAGGCAGCAGGTCAGCTGCTTAGACCTCATAAGCATTTGTAAGGTCGTGTATTGATGTAGGAGGGCTCCTCTCACAAAAAGCATTCCAATTCATCACAAAGGTGTTCAGTAGGGTTGAGGTCAGGGCTTTCTGCAGGTCACTCAAGTTCCTCCGCACCAAACTCATACTCAACTTGTCCTCCAATAAACTGTTACCAACAAATTAGTAGAGCGCAATTGTATAAAATATCTTAATATGCTGAAGCATTAACAGTATTTTTCACTGGGACCACCTGAACTCTTTTAGAAGGGGGTCCTCGTACTTTTTGGCCATATAGTAGTTGTGGTGATCTCCAAACTTTTGGTCATATATCCTTAAAACATTGCACTTATAACATATTCAAAACCCATCAGTGCTCAGAGTTTTTTTTATTTATCTTTATGACTGAAAATTTTCTTTTTCTTGGTGTCTGCTTAAAAGCAACAGTACAGAAAAGATGATTGTAATTACTGTTGGAACTTACCATGCTGTCCATCTGTGCCAGCTTGCTTAACTTGCCTTATCTCACCCTTCAGGTACCATTCTATTCTGGGTGACCTGGATCAGCTGGATAGGGACACTCAACAACTCTTGTACAGTCTCTATCAGTACAATGTGACTGGAGTACAAGGCAGAGTCCCTACAAACAGGAGAAGACGTCAAGCCATGGAACCGCTTCCATTCCCTCTCCAGAGGGTCCCAGTTGAAGGAGGTGCTCACAGGGTGGTCAGAAGTGCAGAGGATAATACCGATGGAAAACCAATTTCAGTGAACCGTCAGGACTGGCATATAGGCTTCAAACTGGTAAGTGGCTTTGTGCACATCAAGAGTCCATCTTCATTGTAAACGACTCACATAACGGTCATCAATAATGAACAATAATATATCACTAATGGGATATAACTACCAATATGTTGCACAGAATTTTAATAATAAAATAAGGAAATGCGGTGGTTAGCGCTTCTGCCTTGCAGCACAGGGGGTCCCCGGTTCGAATCCTGGCCAGGTGTCAGGATCCAGAGCACCCCCAGGTGGTGCTGGAGCCAGGTCCTGCAGTTCCTGTGCTCGCCTGCGGGTGTCTCCAGCAGCCAGGGACTGTCAGGAACCTGCAGCTCCAGTACTCACCTGCGGGTGTGCCCCAGCTGTGACGGATCATCCCATCACCTGGTGCTTCCTGGGAGGGTATTTAGGCCCTAACTGCAGTCAGGAAGCTGGCTCAGTATTTGCGTCGCCTGCACTTGACTGATTCCCATAAACCTGAAACCCTGCTTCCTGAAACCCTGCTTCCTATCTGCAGACCTGTCACCGACCCGGCTTGTTACCTGACCACTCTCTTGGATCCTGTTCCTGTACTGTGCTGCTGCCCTCTTGTTAATGACCCGGCTTGTACCTGACCACTCTTCTTTTATCCTGAGGCCTGCCATATATCTGCAGGCCTGTTACCCCTCCTTGTTGCTTCCCCCTGGCTGTAGGTGTGTGTTTGTCCCAACGGTGGGTTTATTACATCACTGCTAAACCTGTGGGGAGTTGAGGGGGTTTGTAGTTTTGTTGTTGTGTAGCAAATAAACTGTGTGCATAGAACCCTATACAGTGTGGGCATATTAATTTGGTCATCCTGCGTGGGTACCTGCATGAGGTGTGAGGACGCCTGTGCATGGTACCCTGACACCAGGTCACTATCTGCTGGCATGTTCTCCCTGTGCTTGCGTGGGTTTCCTACGGGTGCACAGGTTTCCTCCCACACTCCATAGACATGCTGGTAGGTAAATTGGCCATGTGAGATGGGGGCCTTAGACTATAAGCTCCTTGAGGGTAGGAACTGATGTGAATATGCAAGTATGTAAAGCGATGCGTAAATTGTCAGCAGGTAGAGCGCAAAGGACTAGTTAGTAGTATAGCCTGTGGCTGATCTTTCCTCATTACTGACTTACTAAAAAGAGAGGTTTAGTTGCTCAACTTTTGCAAAATATGCGGAAGCCACACTGTCTCGTTAAGGCCCCTCTGTGTAGTGTTGCCCTAACTCTAATTTCAGAGAGCCTCCATTGGAGCATATATAGCAACAGATAAATTGAGTGCATGTATGCCTTGAAGTAGCCCATTCCTCCTTAAAGGCACAAAGACCCACCAGAAGCCCATCACAATGCCAGCTGAAGACCCCAGTGTGTCCCAACACTGAAGACAGCCCCATACTCCTTAAAGGTACAGCTAAAATAACAGACATCGCCTTTGCAAAGCAGCGGAAGACTTCCATTGTATGTCTGCACCAATTCCAAAACCCCGGTGTTGAATCAGATCATTTGTGGGGGGGGGACGGGGACATTTGCTGGCTGGTTTGAAAGTGTTTCTGTGAGGAGCCAAGAAATGGATGGATAGGGGAGCCCTCTGCACACCTTGCAGCAGTCCAGGCCAACTGCCTTGCAGCAGTCCAGGCCAGGATTTCCCGCTATTATGATGTCACAGGGGGGTGTTCTACAGGTAATTGGTAAACCTCATGGGGTATATATGTGGTGTTTAATGTTACTATGTTGTCACGTCTTTCTGCCCTGAGGAAGGGACCCTGTGCGGTCTCGAACCGTTGGCTCTTACTATTGTGACGTCTTTATCCAATAAATGGACGTATTTAATTATATCGCTGAGTGCTGGTGATTTACTCTTCTACTCTGTGAGGAGGCAGCCATCATGGTAGAGGCAAGGCTTTGCTTCCTCATGTCAGGGCGAGTCCCAAGTGTGCCGCCCCAATGGGGCATAGAATATGAGATGCATAGCCTCAGTTAATATTAGCATTGTTATATAGGTTAGAATTTATATAGTGTGATTTGCCTAACTTTTTTCTCATAGCTAAATCCATGTGTTATCCTATGCTGCCATCTAGTGGCCTTTTGTTGTAACAAACATGCTTTCTGTAATTATTCCTCATGTGACGATGTATTTTCCCCTAGTGTACGCCCCGTCCTTCTTCCTGTGTGCAGTACTTCCTGTGTCATGGCCACAGTTAAAAGCCACATGTAACAAGGACACACATGTAATCTGCACAGTACGTAGGAAAGGCATCATTTTCTGACCGCACAATACTATAACCATTCATCTGCTGTTCCTATCATCTGCTGTAACCCTGATGTTAAAGAATAAACACCTCTTTTGAATGAATCGGTAATGACGAGTTCAGCTATCTGACGAGGATTGTCCGCAGTGAGTGTATCTGCTTATACAGGCCAGGCATAGAGGTCTCAGCAAGGGATATATTTCGCTATCACAACAATCGGAGTCAGAATACCAAGCAAGGAGAACAGTGAGAAGCACAGGAGTGACATTACCAAATTTGACTCCAAATCTCCTGAGACGGCCAGTCATAGGCAGCAGTGTTTTAGATCTCACACTGCAGATAATGTATACAGCTAAGAGGTTGTAGGCAGAGGAGTGTGCCTGTCACCCTCACATACCAGAAGAGCATTGCTACCCTGTTTCCCTGAAAATAAGACCTAGTACTATTTTTGGGAATTGCTAAAATATAAGAGTTACCCTGAAAATAAGCATAGTTGTGACCATTCCCAGGGCCGGTGGTGGCATAAGGGGGAACTTGAAGAGAGGCGGGAGAGAATCAGCAGTGCCACCGATGCCAGCGCTAGAGGAAGTGAGGCGGGAGCGGAGGGAGCAGAGCCACATAAGCCGATGTTTCCTCTATAGCGCCGACTCCTGTCACAGGCTGAGTGATACCAAATGCACTCCGCCTGTGAGGAATCGATAGTGAAAGCGCACTTCGCTCATTCTGGCGATTGGTTACCAAATTGCTCTTGGAAAGGTACGGCACCCCTGATTGCCCCGATCACCATATTCTTGACTTTGCCATTTTGGATTATTTAATTTGGATTTGCATTAATTTTGGATTGTTGTACATAAAAAAAAATAAGACCTACCCCGAAAATAAGACCTAGTGTGTTTTTTTTGAGCCAAACAAAATATAAGACAGTGTCTTACTTTCGGGGAAACACGGTATTTTTAGGAAGAATTCCAGTCATAAGGTACATTTATCATGGTACTTCATAGGCAAAACTAACACTCCTCGATGTACCATATAACAGAAAATCATCACTTTGTGAGCTCAGGTCCACTTTAAGATGTGAACAAATCAAAGATGTGATATCGTGAGTGAGTTTTGTTTGGGAACAACAGTTGATGTCATACACTGTATGATTATCATCAGATTTTGTACAAAAAAAGCCCCATCTGTCCAAAAATTAAACCCTATATGGACCCTTAGCTACTCTAATGTGGTTGGTATTTGGTAAGCTGCTTAAATACTTTTTTGCTCGTGGACTTTGCAAATAATCTAGAACTCAGCTAAGCATTATTTGTATCTTACGTATTGTGAGGGTGTTAGATCAGTAGCGGGCGTTTGTGACTCCCTGGATGAGTTCACACCACAGAAATTAGGCAAAGCAAACAAGGATTTCTTCTGGTGAAACAAACACAGGTGTAGTTTATTTACACTATTTACAAGAAAATTTGAGCATAACAAACAAAACATGAAAAGAAATCCTGACCTTTTTGGCCACTTACCACACATATGGTATCCCTCACTACCAACTAGGTGCAACCTTGTGCTGCCCCTAGCACCTATCTCCCTATTCAATAAACTGCCACACAGGCTCACCGCACGAGATTTGTTTTTGTTTGACACCACACAGGCAGGCCTGGCGCTACGGCAAGGCAAGTCAGGCGGCCGCCTTACGGCGCTGCAGGGTGAGGGTGGAAAAAACAGGGCATTTTGACAAGTAATGTACTGGTCAAAATGCCCCGATGTTTGCGCTATGTTTGTTTGTTTTTTTTCACTTACCTTCGGTGCAGGAGAGGAGCGGCGAGCGGCGCGGGAGAGCACCGGCGAGTCAGCGCTGGTCCAGTGGGAGGAGCTCCAGGTGGGGTCCTAATTTAGCTGGCCGGTGACTGCCAGAGGATTCCGACACACGTATGGGGCGCAAAAATGCACCTTGCCCACCTTGCCTAGAATCCTAGCACCGGCCCTGCACACAGGTCAGTAGAAAGCCCCCCCAGTCTACCCAGGGTGGAGCAAATCTCTAAACAGTCTGGAAGTTCTTATAGAGGCCCTAATGAGCCAGCTTACTTCAGCTGTGCTCATTGCATCCTGAACCTGGGACACACATATATGTCATCCTGGATACACCCATGCGATTTCACCTGCCTGCTGTTACAGTATATATATATGTATGTATATTAGGGATGCACCGATACCAAGTATTTGGGCGAGTACTAATGCTACGATACATTCCCTGATACCAGAACTTTCGGTCGGAGGAAGATTTCCTCTGACCGGCAGTGCCATTGGGGAACATGGAGCCGGCTTCCCGTGCGATCAGGAAGCTGGGCGGCGAGTATTGATCCGCCTCCCAGCTTCCTGATTGGCTAGGAAACCGGCTCCATGCTGATTGGTCAGGAAGCCGGCCTCCCGACCAATAAGCATCGAGATGGCCGAACAGTCGGCTCCTTGCTGATTGGCTGAAAAGCCGGCTTACGGGCCAATCAGCATCAAGCTGGCCAAACAAGTCTCGTACTCGATACCGAAAAACCGGTATCAGTGCATCCCTAAGATATAAATAGTGTGACGACATGGTGATGAGTTTATAAGTAAATGTGTATTGGTGTTGGGTTATGTTTAAGTGCGTTATACTGAGTAACCTGGTTATGAAAAGACTATCAGCACCATCCCTCGTTATCTCCCTTTGTACTCAGAAGGAGCTCAGAACAATGACATTCTGGCCAGGCCCTGCTATGGCTGTCTGGAGCTCGTTAGCAGGGGAAACCCTGTGATGTTGAGCAGACAGATTATCTGGGGACAGGCATCTCATCACTTGCTGTATAAAAGTTTGTGCAGTTGCTCAATAAATCAGAGTTTGTTTCACCCTACACTTGAGTCTCGACCAGTGACTGGGGAAACTGGGAGCTAAAGATCAGCGGGTTGCAAAATCTCCTGAGCAAGGAAGAAGACAGCGGCGGACATACTCATCCTGAGTATGGGGGTCCGTCACAAATAGTACAGCCCATTGTAATAAAAAAAAACACCACCACCACTTTCTGACATGGTGTCACCATGTCTAAACCTCCCATGAACTTGTGGAAGATGTCACCTCTACTTCTGGGAACTACTTTAGCAGCATCTCAATTTAGAACTGAACTGACCAGTAACAGAGCTTACTGTGGCGGTGTGTGGACTGAAGCAACCTATAATTTCAAAGAAGAGCTTTAGCTACGTGTACGTGGAGGCAGGAGCTACTGTTCCTGTAACATAATGGTCATGTGCATGACTCAAGACATCTGTTGTGTCCCACAGTGGCAGGGTATTGCACGTGTCTGTTGCCCGACATATCGACATGTTAAGCAAGTCAAGACTCTCATATATTAAAATTTCCAATATTGCAGCTTAGAAAGCATACTATCTTATCCTTCAGCTATGATGTAGTGACAAAGTAGTATTCAGTCATTTAGATACCGTGTTTGGTTATGGGGGGGCATCCGGGACAAACAGAAAGTGAAAGAGCTATGACTTTACACACAATAAAAGAGACACACCAGCTTTATGGCTTTGACAGACTTTGCAATGAAATCTGCAATCTGGGAATCCACAGTCCAGGCCATGACTTTTGACACACTTTCCAGAAATAGTTGCTCGATAATCCCTACCAGAAATCAGTCTCTTAGTAGTCACTCAGTCATAATTCAATTCAAGGGGCAGCCTGGAAACGTCAGGTGAGGACGAATCTCTTTCATCTGCACCCAGGGTTGGATTGGAGGCCTGGGGCCCTTCAGAGGAAATGAGAAGAAGGGTCCACCATTAAAATATTGGTATAGGTTACTACAAGGCAGCATGGTTAAATAGGCATGGTTTAAGAGCTGAAACTTATTCTAAGACTGTATAGCAAAATTTAACCAGGCTCAAGAAAATGTTTTTTGACCCTAAGGCTGGGTTCACACCTAGGCATATCGAATATGCGCGTTTCGTGTCGTGCGTTTGTCGCGCAATTTGTGGAAAAAAACGTGCCACAAACGCGCGTTTCCGAGGGCTACTTGGCTGTATCCCAATGGAAACGCGCGACAAAAACGCCCCAAAGAAGCTACTGTACTTCTTTGGGCGTAGGACGTTTTGTAGCGCGTTCATACGGCCTGTAGGTGTGAACCATACCCATAGGAAATAATGGTATTTCGGTGTTTGAGCGTTTTGCAGAGCGTAGGAACGCGCTACAAAATGCCCAGGTGTGAACCGGGCCTAAGGACTAAGGTCCGGTTCACACCTGGAACACGCGACACGAAACGCACGACAAACGCGCATATTCGATACGCCTAGATGTGAACCCAGCCTTAAGGTTTTTAATCAGTTTTCTAGTGGGATAGCTTGAGTATATCGTTTTTGGTTCACATTAGAACATCTGAAAAAAAATTTAATAGTAGCCTAATGCAGCTTGGAAGGAGATCAAATGCAGATCAGAAGGTTATCTAAAGCAGGGCTTCTTAAACTGTGGATCGCGAGGGGTCGCTATCCGAATCCCCTTATCAAGGGCCCTTATCAGTGGGGTATGGCCAGTACTTGTGTGAGGGGCCCAGGGGGGCCCGGGCTCCAAGCAAGATTTTTTAAATTATCGATTAGTATGTGCAGTGTATTTGGTAAGGTCCCGGGCCCCCCTGTGCACTTGGTACCTTCCTGTGCGTGCAGGAAGGTTTTTTTCTTTTGTCAGGGGGCGGAGCTTTCTTTAACCCAGCAGAAGCACTGAGCAAGGCAGGAGCGGAGTACAGCTGCTGGAGGGGAAAG